GAAAGAAACGGGTAGGTCAGACATGCAGAAGAGGTGACAGCAACGGACTTAAAATCACTTACCGAATAAGCAGCGAAACAGCAAGGAAACAACTCTTTTTATCGGTTTTCAAAACGTTTTCTCCATTTTCCGGTTTTCATAACCTTGCGATGTTTTTGGGTTTTCAAAACATTTTACCTTTTTGCGATTTTTGGAGCTTACTGATGCCAAGATAAACCTGAAAAAGCCGTTAGAATCAAAAATGCTAAGCGAACATTCTAAGTAACTTGTCGGCCAGTGAACCCGACGACTAGACCTAGTAACCATTTTAGGCGCGGCAAAGTCGGAGGGCTCAGGAGGCGGGTTTCCACTCGTGGTGTGGCTGGCTGTAGGCGTTTCCTTCACCATTGTTTGGGTCTATTCATCGGAGGACTGAGGACTGCAGTGGTCGTTCGACTCTGGTTTGACGTCAGCAATTTTGAGGCCATTGATTGAGACGGTTTCGCGTTTGCCGCTGCGTTTGATGACGAAGAAGTGGTCCTTACGTTGTAGGACTTTGAATGGGCCTTCGTACATCGTTTTGATTCGTCTGCGTAGACCATCCATGCGAATGAAGATAACTAGGCGGTGGTGAAAATCTTTGGGTACGTCGGACGCGATGCTGTTCCCGCACTTCGATCGCTCTGTTGCGGCGCGTGCTCGTGGCTAACTACGGAGCGTATTACGCGTCGTAGCGAGAAGTGTTCACGCTTTCAGAGAAGTCGCCTGGTAATCGGAATGGTTGTCCATAGACAGGTTCGGCGCTGAACGTTTCGAGATTGGCGTTCAATGCTGCCCGAATTCCGAGTAGTACCGTTGGCAGAAATTCTCTCCACCTAAGTGCATTGATGGCGCTTAGCCAGCCAGGCTTTAAGCTGTCCGGGGAAACGCTCCACCGTTCCGTTTGCTTGAGGATAGTAGGCGGTCGTCCGGATGCGTTTACATCCGAGGACTTTGAGTAGGCCGTTGAAACACGCCAATTCGAATTGTGGACCAAGGTCGGTAATCACAGTGGCTGGACAGCCATGTGAAGCGACCCAGCGCTGGATGAATGCCCGCGTCGTGGTCTGAGCTTCTACAGCGGGAATTGGAACAGTTTCAGGCCAACGAGTGTCTCGATCCACCAAGGTCAGATTGTAGACCATGCCTTTCGAAGGCAGAACGGGTCCAACGATGTCGAGGTGGAAGTAAGCGAATCGAGTTGATAGTGACGGGAAGCGTCCTATCGGAGTGGTAACACGTCGGTGAACTTTTGCTCGCTGGCAAGTCAGACCGTTGCGTGCCCAAAGCCTGACGTCGCGCTGCGTGTTGGGTTAGACGTATCTGTCGGCAGTCATCTTGACTGAGGCGCGGATGCCAGGATGCGGGATGTTGTGCAGCGTATCGAAGACTTTTCAGCGAAGGGCATTTGGTACCAGTGGACGTGGCTGTACGTTGGAGCCGTAGCAAATTATTGTACCTGTAGACGAAGTAAGCTGTCTAGGTACCAAATTTAACGTGAACTCTTCGCAGGATGACATTAGGTCTTTTTAGGCTTGCTGAGCAGCGGCCATAGCTTATAGATCGAGCGAATGCTCGGACGGCGCCGGAGTCACGTCGGGGCACCAGTTATAGCAAAATCGTTCGGTCGCTATATGTCGGGTTGGTCCCGCCTCAGGGAAAAGTCGGAAAAAGACGGATATATGGGTGATATAGACGTTTATTGTCGAACCGCACAATCCCGCTAGCTTGAGGCACCCTAAAATGGTTCTAACTAGGGGACGCATAGTCACCAGCCGAGACGCAGGAAACGCTCTTCGAGGCGGAAAAGCCAGAAGCGCGCGAATGCGATTCGTCTGGATGACTCAAACAAACGTATTCATCCTGCGAACGGGCAAGTTTCCTAAGTTGTCTATGTACATAATGATAGTATAGTTTAATAATATTTTACACAGACGAACAGGACAACCTCCAGGTCTGCCTCCGTTCTGATTGCGTACTTGCCTGATAAGATTGTCGCTGGTACGGTTGGAGCACGCCTACGATAACGGCTTGTAACGCTGGCCAATCGAACGGAGTTGCGCTGACCTGATGACGTTAGCTAAGCTGGTGAGACAGAAATTGAGCGAGCTTGTGAACGATCCTAGCCGCACATGTTCGGACAGACGCTGAGCCCTCGGAACGGACGCACACGGGAGGGGTTACGATAGACGCGCGCTAATGACTTAGACGCGTAGGCTGGCCAGCTAACGACTCACACGCAGTCAACTGACCCGACTGACTCCCAAGTAAGGCGAAGAGGAAAGAAAGACAGGCGGTCCTCCGTAGGCTCTTTTACGACCAACAAAGGGCGAATCACAGCCAGTGCTATGGGTCATTAAGTTAGGGAAAATTTCTACCACGACGAGGTGGTAGTTTGTAAAAGGCCATTGTCAAAAGGTGCGTAGTTGGGCGGCGTCTCGGAGTGGCTGATCACTGCTACGTTGTGGGGAGGAGTTGGACCCCGCTTCCCACAGCCATTCTGTTGGGGCGTCTGGCGCGTTTTTGCGGGGATTTTTGACGGATCCGCAACACACGACAAATTATACCAGACGCTAGACTGATTTCGGATAGTCGAAGTTTCTCATTTCCGCTAGCAGCTGGTCACCCGAGCTCCAATCGAGCGCTGACAGGGTGTGGTAAAACTTTTGCATTACCCTACGTGAACTCTGCTCTACTACCACAACCTGCAAACAAGTTTCCGTGGGGAAGAGACGCAAGCATTCATCCGAACTCGTACACGGACGTGGATTCTCTCCAAGGACGGCATGCAGAAACTATTGTTTCCATCCAACGGCTACTCAGTAGAAATATTACCGATCCATCCGTAACCAGTGCATCCATCTTGTACGCGAAGATAAGGGTCAGCCTCTGCATCAGCTTATGCATAAATGCTCATCCATTTCCTTAGCCTTGTGTAGTCACGTCAGCAGTCTTCGACTGGCTGGCTAGCCGAACAACCCCATTTGAGGCTCGCGCAAAAGCTGTCCTCGTACGGGGTATCTGGCCGCGCCCTACATTGGGTGACTGCCTTCTTAGATGATAGAGAACAGTGTGTACGGGTAGGCCGGGGCCTATCATTAAGGCAGTTTGTCCTCAGCGGCGTGACGCAGGGCTCGGTCCTTGGACCGCTGTTGTTCTCTATCTATATGAACGACCTACTAGCGGAGCTTGAGGTACCATCGCTGCTATTTGCTGATGACCTGAAGCTGTGGAACATTGTTGATGTTCCTGGGGGTTCCGAAGCTATTCAGCGAGCATTGGATAAGCTTTGGGACTGGTCTACTTTATGGTTACTGCCCATAAATCAGGCAAAGTGCTCCGTTCTTCGAATTGGAGGAGGTTGTCCTCCTGCGAAGTACTTGGTCGGTGGGGTCGAACCCCCCGTGTATCTAGCCAGGTTGACCTAGGCGGCGTACACTCTTCGGCTTTACACTCCGGCGACAACTGGAAGAAGGCCGCATGCAGTGGTTTCCGCATGTTGTGGTTAATCCGACGTTCTTTCGGAGTCTTGACGGGCGACACCTTTACGAGGCTGTTCTCGGCTTTCGTTCGGCCTCATCTGAAATACTGCGTCCAGGCTTGTCCGCCCTGCCTCGTCCGGGACAAAATGGAGCTAGAGAGGGTTTTACGAGTGGGTACTAGGTTAGTCGAGGGATTACGGGGACGGACGTACCCCGAGCGTTTACTTAGTCTGGGAATGCATTCAATGCACTACCGAAGGCTTAGAGGAGACCTAATCCTAACCTACCGTATCTTGACTGGGAAGGTTGGTCCAGATTTATCTTGGCTATTCAGTCCCGCTAGATCGTCTGTTCTACGCGGTCATTCATTGAAGCTGGACAAACCGCGGTCCGATCGGATCAGGGCGGAAATCCGGCTGTCACGCCGAGTCATCGACCGCTGGAACATGCTTCCGGAAAGTGTTATCAGGGAATCTACGGTTAAGGGGTTTGAGCGGCAACTTGACGCTCTTGGGTGGCAACACGAAACCTTTCCATTTTCCTGAGTAACTTGCATCTTCGTACTTCGATTTTCTTTGCTCTACTTTTCTTCACGTATTGGTATTATTTTCTTATTTAAGTGCAGTTCCCTATTCTGTACCTTCTATTTCTCTTCCTATCCTTTGCTTACTTCACGTGACTGCCACAGCAGGGACTGCTAGGGCAGGAAACGTGGGCATTAACTGGTTGGCCAGGGTGCGATACGGGTGTTTCCGTTTTAGACCCATCAATAACTGAGCACTTCATCAATTCCTGGCTCAACGATCCACTCAAGATGGAACACTCACGGGATTTTCCTATCGTTCCAGTCCCCATCTGAACTGAATCTGAACTGAACCTCCTCGTGGTGTCAGCTGGGTGGTTCGGGTTTAACACGTTCCAGCAAATAGTTCGGCGGCAGTGTTCCAGGTCACCCGTTGAAGCTGCATAAACAGCGTTCTGACCGGGTAAGGACGGAAACTGGCTTGTCGCGTCGAGTTATTGAACGTTGGAACTCACTTCCGGCGCACGTGGTTAGGGAGTCTACGGTAGAGGGTTTCGAGCGTCAGTTAGATGCTCTAGGGTGACAGTGCCAAAGCTTCCCCTTCTCCTAACCGACTTGTATCTTCAACTTTCCATTCGTTCTTTTTTAATTTTCTTCTCACCTCGGTATTATCATTATTTAGCTGACATTCCTCCTCTTGTTTTCTTAGCTTACCCTTCACTCTTTTGCTTCACATAAACCGGCCCGGCAGGGACTGCAGGGCAGGAAAATGTGGGCAGTAATTGGTTGGACAGGGTGTGATGCGGTCTTTGTTTTAGGCTTTTCAACATCTCAAGCAGGCCTGCCAATTCCCGATCCAACGATACGCAAAAGAAGGAACATTCACGGGATTATCCTATCGTTCCAGTCCCAACTGAACTTGAACTCGAACTTGAAGCGTTCTCCATATAAAAAGCCATATTTGTCCGTTTAAAAACACTGTGACGTGGCGGACGTGACTCGCCACTGAATAAAGTCACTGCCCCTTTTTAATCTGTGAGTACTACGCGGCAACCTAATTTTTTGGCGTGCCATACTGATTTCATTTCAGTTCGGTTCAGATGGGGACTGGAACGATAGGAAAATCCCGTGAGTGTTCCATCTTGAGTGGAACGTTGAGCTTTTCAGCTGAAATAACGTGGAAAACAGTGTTTGAATAAACAATTGTAACGAAATTTGACTGTTTTCAAATTTTCTCTGATCCAAGATCTCTTGGATCGATTAAACTGGTACTGGCCAAAGCGTCTTTGGCGCTTACTGGCAAATTTTCCGGTTGTTCCCAGTTTTAATCCCGTTTTGCACCTTGTTTTCGTCTTTTTATTGCGGTCGTCTTCCTATTGTATACGTGTTGTAATTCTACTCTGTTTTCTACATGAACATGGCTGTCTCGCTAAACACCGAGACGGTTGGACTTAAGAGGTCCTCGTTTGATGAGTCTACTGCAGCTTGCGGACAGGTTAACTGTTCAGAGCCAATAACAGATTTAGCTGGCGGTATGCAGTGTGACGTCTGCTGCCGCTGGTATCACGAAAGCTGTACCATCCTACAAGCTGACCAGTACACAATGCTATCATCAAGCGTTCAGTTCAGTTCAGTTCAGATGGGGACTGGAACGATAGGAAAATCCCGTGAGTGTTCCATCTTGAGTGGATCGTTGAGCCAGGAATTGATGAAGTGCTCAGTTATTGATGGATCTAAAACGGAAACACCCGTATCGCACCCTGGCCAACCAGTTAATGCCCACGTTTCCTGCCCTAGCAGTCCCTGCTGTGGCAGTCACGTGAAGTAAGCAAAGGATAGGAAGAGAAATCGAAGGTACAGAATAGGGAAGTGCACTTAAATAAGAAAATAATACCAATACGTGAAGAAAAGTAGAGAAAAGAAAATCGAAGTACGAAGATGTGAGTCACTCAGGAAAATGGAAAGGTTTCGTGTTGCCACCCAAGAGCGTCAAGTTGCCGCTCAAACCCCTTAACCGTAGATTCCCTGATAACACTTTCCGGAAGCATGTTCCAGCGGTCGATAACTCGGCGTGACAGCCGGATTTCCGCCCTAATCCGATCGGACCGCGGTTTGTCCAGCTTCAACGAATGACCGCGTAGAACAGACAATCTAGCGGGACTGAATAGCCAAGACAAATCTGGACCAACCTTCCCAGTCAAGATACGGTAGGTTAGGATTAGGTCTCCTCTAAGCCTTCGGTAGTGCATTGAATGCATTCCCAAACTAAGTAGACGCTCGGGGTACGTCCGTCCCCGTAATCCCTCGACTAACCTAGTACCCACTCGTAAAACCCTCTCTAGCTCCATTTTGTCCCGGACGAGGCAGGGCGGACAAGCCTGGACGCAGTATTCCAGATGAGGGCGAACGAAAGCCGAGAACAGCCTCGTAAAGATGCCGCCCGTCAAGACTCCGAAAGAACGTCGGATTAACCACAACATGCGTAAACCTCTGCTTGCGGCCTTCTTCCAGTTGTCGCCGGAGTGTAACGCCGAAGAGTGTACGACGCCTAGGTCAACCTGGCTAGATACACGGGGGAGTTCGACCCCACCGACCAAGTACTTCGCAGGAGGACAACCTCCTCCAATTCGAAGAACGGAGCACTTTGCCTGATTTATGGGCAGTAACCATAAAGTAGACCAGTCCCAAAGCTTATCCAATGCTCGCTGAATAGCTTCGGAACCCCCAGGAACATCAACAATGTTCCACAGCTTCAGGTCATCAGCAAATAGCAGCGATGGTACCTCAAGCTCCGTGGGTAGGTCGTTCACATAGATAGAGAACAACAGCGGTCCAAGGACCGAGCCCTGCGGCACGCCGCTGAGGACAGACTGCCTAAATGACAGACCCCGGCCTACCCGTACACATTGTTCTCTACCCTCCAAGAAGGCAGTCACCCAATGAAGGGCGCGGCCAGATACCCCGTAGGAGGACAGCTTTTGCGCGAGCCTCAAATGGGGTACCTTGTCAAATGCCTTCGAAAAGTCGACGAAAAGCACGTCCAGCGTGTGGCCGTTATCCACTGCATCCGCCCAATTTTCGCGAGCCACCAACAGATTCGTCAGACACGAAAATCCCTTCCGGAATCCGTGTTGTACATTGCTAAGTAGATTAAATCTACTCAGATGACTCTCTAATGAATCTCTCACCAGTTTCTCGAGGAGTTTGATTACTACACTCGTCAGACTAACTGGCCTGTAATTTGCAGGCAGACCCCTGTCCCCATGTTTGAAGATGGGACAGATGACAGCTTCCTTCCATTCGGAAGGCAATGCACAACTGTCAAGCGATTTCTGAAACACAATAGCGAGCGGTCCACTTAGTTCCGCAGCCAACTCATGCAACAGTTTCGGGTGAATTAAATCAGGCCCAGAGGCCTTAGAAGGGTTCAGCCCTTGTAACAGCCTACGAACTGCAGTCTCCGCTACAATAAATTCAGATAGTTCTGAACCCTCTGGAGTCCTGCAAACCAGCTCAACGCCTGTCAAAGAGGTTTCCCTTACAAACGCTGCCGCATATTGCCCACTGAGTACGCAGGCCTTGTCATAATCCGTATGCGCATGAGTACCGTCATCACGCATCAATACTGGAATTGACATTTTCGAACCGCAGCGTCTTTTGACATAAGCGAAGAATCTTTTTGGATTCTCTGAAGCTTCGTCCGCTAACCCTTTTTCAAAAGTGAGCCGAGCATCCCTTAGGTGTTGCTTACACCTATTTCTAGCTTTACGGTACCTGTCATAAGTATCGGTAGACGGAGCGTCTCGGTAAGTCCGCCAACATCTAGATCTCTTTGTGAGCAGATGCCTGCCAGTGGGATCTATCCAGGGCGGCTGTGCTCGGGCCTCCTTTCTCCTTGTGACTGGTATGAAGGGAGCAGAGACCTCTGTGAGGTAGGACTTAAATTTATCCCAGGCAACCTGGACAGTATCGTCGTCTGAGATCTCACAATGGAAACCAGAAGCCTTGGCTCTCATTGATTGATAGTCTGCTTGCCATATGTTCGGGCGAGACTCAACAGTACTCTGGTAGCGTCTAGACAGAGTACAATTGAAGAGCAAACAAACATGATCACTGGAACCCAGTGGAGGTCCGTAAGTAATGTCACCAACAAAGTCGAGTGACTTAGCGAATACAAGGTCTAAGATAGACGGTACTTGGGCGTCCATGTACCTAGTGGGGAGGTCAATGAACTGGTGCAAAGATACTTGGAGCGTAAGTTCAAGCAGATCAGCGCCGAATGTGCCTGACGCTGAGTCGCAAGAAAGATCTGCCCAACAAATCTCTGGGAGGTTGAAGTCGCCCATCACCAAACACTTATTTGCGGACTGGGAGCGAATGAAGTCAAGTACCTCTTTGGATACGCTCCCAGGGCTTCTATACACAATTACAACTGTAACCTGAGCCGAGGATGTGCTAATAACAGCCGACAGAGCTTCAACAGTTTTGTCTGCTGACTGAAATAGGCAAGTCTTCAAAACGTCAAGTTTACAGCTCACATAAAGAGCGACGCCCCCTCCCTGTCGGCCAGCAGAGCGATCGCATCTAAATAGTGCGTAGCCCGATAGATGTACTTCACCATCCGTGATGTCCTGAGACAGCCACGTTTCAGTGAATGCGAGTATATCGGGATGAGACCCATCTACAAGCAGACCTAACTCGTACACCTTATTCCTTAGGCTGCGCACATTACTTAGCACTATCTGAAGTTTTTCGTTAGATCCAGACCTGGGTCGTGCGCTACCAGTACTGGCACTGGTAGGGCGGAAAAGGACCGCCGGCTGACCACCCGAAAACCCACTAACCGGAGACCTTGTTCACCGGCCGCTCGCCTGCTTTTGAGGTCCTTGATGGCCTCCCTTAGCTTCAGCCTATCGGCTAGCGGAAGGTCCGGCTGAACGCTAATGTTTGTACCTTTCAGCTTAAACGCAAACCGCATGAGAGCATTGCGTTCCTCCGGGGTAGAGAGTACCACACGAAGTAGCCGCGGTCGCGGGTTTGGTACGTTAACTGGGACGTTCCCCAGTCTAATCAGCTTCCTGACAGTAACGCCTGGAAAACCAGGCGGAAGAAGCCTCGTTACGCACATTTTAAACCATTGAAGGTCGTCCAACATGCGATCAGCGGGAAGGACAGCAGTAGATTCAGCCGCGTTACGGAATATAACGCTACTATCCGTGAAAGAATCGCCGCGACGGGGTGTATTAACCCCACGGGTCTTTGATTCGGCACTCGGAGCAGGTGGCTTCACTACTGGTAATGGAACCGTCTTTAGCCCCTCCGATGATGTAGCAACGGCAGCGTATGTTTTTCGCTCCATTGTCGATGTCTTACTTTTGTTAGGGTCATCGATTTCACCGGAAGGCTTTATAGCAGATTTTGTCTGCTTTTTCTTCTTGATAACAGGAGTAGGGTCCCGTGGGGCTTTTTCGCTTTGAGCAGAATCAAGCACACCTTCAGAATATGTCTTCTCGGTGAGAACCAAGATTTCCGGCAACTTCGGCTGATAAGTAGTGCGTGTTGTGATCTTCGCCTTCGCACAACCGTCAGACGGTTTGCCAAGTAACGACACTTGGCCTGTTACCGGTGCCGAGACAACTTCTTGTTTAGCAGAGAGCTTACGAGGTTTCCTGGCTCTTCTTCGCTTAACTCGAAGTGACCCTTGAACCAGCAATTCGGCATCGATCAGCGTAGGTATAGATACGACGTCCGAAGCTGCTTCATTTTTGTGGTCGGTAGCCATCTGGACCGGTGACATAATGATAGGTGCCACAAGCTGATCATCAGTGTAAGCGATCAAATCTGCTTTGTTGGAGACCGGAAGCGTCGTCATAAGCAGATCAATCTTTGAGCGAAGATCAGAGAGCATCGAGAACGAACGCTCTACATTTCGCAGCCGGGTATCAAGAGATTCATCTCTCGTACGAAGGACTGTGCGGCCTTGCCGGCGGCTGCAGCAATTGGCACAACGGAACAGCAACTTTTCGCTAGAGGCC